TTATATTTATCTATATTTTTTGTGATTTTCAAATTACCTCCAAGTTGAGTATTGAGTATCTAACCCAATGGATCGATTACCTCTAAATACCCAACATAATTGGGCTACTTCAATTGTGGTCTGGATCTAATTCTTCATTCCTGAGCTTATAGGTTATGAAGTTAAAATGAGCCTCGATTTTTTATCATCGCCTAGGGGATTTGGGCATCACTTACCAAACATGCCCAATAACCTCCACCTTGATGCGAATCATCTTGCAAGTCAGATAAGATAACAAATAGCTTAAGGGAAGAGACTTACAAGTTTGTACCGATGTTTAGAAGATCAAGGTAACTTCTAAACTTTACCAATGGGAACACCTTAGTTCCCATATCTGCAGGATTATATTCTGAAAGGACTTTCTCAAGTTTTACCAGCTCTTGAGAAACCATATCTCTAATAAAATGCAATCTATCATCTATATGTTTAGTACGTTCATGAAAGACAGGATTTTTGCATAGGTGAATAACAAATTGACTATCAAAATATATTGTCACGTTGTCTTTAAAAACACCAAGTTCATTTAATACACCTTTAAACCACAAAGATTCTTTAAAGGCTTCTGTAGCAGCAATGTATTCTGATTCAATAGTGAATAATGCAACAACATGTTGAAGTTGTGATTTTCTTGCTATTTTTCTCTCAAGGTGTCACTTTCTGATTCACACTCATTAAATGTAACATCATGACTTATGATGATCTTAACTCCATTTTCACTTCTATCCCAAAGTCTATACCCTTTAACTCCTTTAGGGTATCCTAAAAAAACACATTTTCTAGCTCTATGTTCTAATTTTCCCTCATTTTGATGAGAGAAAGCACACAGTCAAAAGTTTTCAACACAGTATAGTTAGCACATTTACCATACCATTTTTCATGTGGAGTATCACCGTTTAATCAGATAACATGCAGTGATAACAACCTCACCCCAAAAAGATTTAGGAATTCCAAAACTCAACATTATACATCTAACTTTGTCAAGTAAAGTACGATTCATACGTTCAGCCACCCCGTTTTGTTGAGGCATATAACGAATAGTTTTATGTCTAGTAATTCCACATTTTTCACGCAAATTATCAAAATCATTATTATAGAACTCTAGGCCGTTATCAGTTCTTAGATATTTTATCTTTTTGCCAGTTTGAGTTTCAACTTGCAATTTCAATAGTTTGAAAATTTTAAGTTTTATCCTTTAATAGATAAAATCACACACTATGAGAGTAATCATCAATTATGGACATAAAATATCTATTACCACCCATTGTAGGATTAGTAGCAGGCCCCCATAAATTAGTATGAATATATTTCAAGACTTTAGTAGTTTTATGCATACCTGATGAAAAAGATGACCTATGATGTTTACCAAGTACACAGTGATCACAAAAAACCATATTAGACACAATATGTGTCGAGATTTTACCGAGAAATGCACAGAACACAAATTCACATATGTAAAAGTCACAGGTCACACAGATTACACGGAATAACAAGATTCCTAAGGTTTCACAGTAATGCACTATTCTAGAACCCCAAGGTTTCGTGAGAATCGAGTTCTCGAATCAAGGGAAGAACTAGAATAGGAGTCTGGGTACAAGTCTAAGATAATACGAGATAACACAACGATGTTCAACAAATTAATCTAATGACAAATAAATAATTTCACTTATAAAATTAAATAGATAATGGCAAGTAATCCTAGGTTCTATCAACAAGCAATGGTTGTCAAGCAATGACAACCCCCAATCCTAATTATCACCCCACACGATGATCTGCTTGTGTATTAATGTAAAGTTTCAGCCAATTTACCAGAGTAGACTTGTCTGAGTCCGTAAATTACTAGAGATGTGAATTTACTACTTTAGAGCCGCAATTTTGGCCTAAAGTAATTCAGTAAATATGTGACAGTTTCGACCGTTAATCAATCAAGGGTAAAATTGTCCAACTTTTTCTGTATAACTTGAAATAGAAAACTTCCAACACGAAAAATGTTAGAAATAATGTTAGAATCATGCCGCCTAAAGAAAACTTCTCCAAACTCGACGCCATGCGCCCACACACGCCACCATCGAAGCCGCCACGCCTCGCCGTCGAGAACACATGCTACACACCCAGCATCGCCTTTACCTACACATCTCAACCCTGGTCTTCATTTCCCCAATGAACTTCTGGATTGCCAGGAAATCGCGTTTGTAGGTGCGATTTTTGGTGCAAAAACTGGGCAGTCCGTTTCTTCTGGGCAAACCCACCTATAAATCAACCAAAAGAATCAATTAATGAAGGATTTACAAGGATTAACTTCAAGAAACTCAAAACCAAAAATCTGAAAAATTGAAGAACGATTTTTCCCTTTTTGATTCGGCTCAAAAACTAGATCCACACCACAAAGGTATCTCCAATTTGAAGGTCATTATCAGTCACAAAGACAATTTTACAAAGAAGACAGAGAAGGATTTGTTTTGCCCAAAGCAGGAAGAGATTTTCTCTTGTTATCTGGGGTGAGAAAAATGAAGGGTGAAGGCTCCAATTTATAGGCTCATATGGAGAACGGATTTTCCAAAAATCTTGCAAGATTAGGATGAATAAAAATCTGCAAGATTATGTTAACTAAAATATAGAGCTCAAGACGGGATAAATTGGTTAAAGAAAGATAACGATTATATTTATCTATCCTCTTGTGATTTTCAAATTATCTCCAAGTTGGATATTGAGCATTGATAAGTGCAATGTTCGCACTTATTTAGACCAAATTATTAAATGTTTCTACTGTGAAATTATTGAACTCTATTTAATTTTAGTTAATTTTTGTTTATTTCAGTGTTTGACCCATTTGGGAGCAGACGAGAGAAAGGGCCGGCTGTAACTTAGCAAAAAGAGGGCTGGCTGCTGGAGACAAGTGGACGAAAAGGAAGAATAAAAAAACAATTGGATTTATATATTAATACAAAGGCAGCCAATTAGAAGGAAAATTTAATTCTTTGAGAGTCATAAAAAAAAAAAAAAAAAAAAAGTAGCTACCTTGTGAAATTATAGGGGAGAACCGAGAGCCAATTGGAGAAATTGTAGAAGAATTAGCATTTGCCTGGGACTCCAAGATTTCGACTGTAGGAAAAAAAAGTGTGGCTGAATCAGATTTTATATACATATAAATTGGTGGCCGGCAGAAGGAAATTGAAGAAGCAGAATTGTTACACACACATATAGGCGACAATTGAATTGGGCAGCAGCTTCAAGGATAAATTGCAGTCAAACACTATGGCAAATATGAAGACGGCAACCACAAGAAAGACACATATTATTGGATTATAATTGGAGTTAAACACATCCATCAATTTTCGGTAATGTCCTTCCACTTTTATTTGTTTGATTCCAATAATATGTTAGGCTAATTAGTTTCATGTATTGGATGATGACAAAATTGTTTAATTTTTAGTTTTAATTCGAGACCTATGTTTTTATGTTAATTATTGCGTTGTGATTCCATTAATGTGCCTATTCACATTGTTTTAATGTTTGCGCACCATTAGGACAATAAATTGCTTATTCGTAGTGTTGAAAAACTCACGATAGGTAGAACACTATTATTGGGACACACAGGTAATAAATATTAGGAATAATATTTGTGGCGTGTGCGATCTTATGTGATAATCCTAAATGTCAATGCATGTTTGCCATATGAATTCGGACTAGGAATATGATCGTCTCGTGGTAATCATAGGTTTATTATATCTTCGGAAAGAATAATAAATAAAAAATAAAATTATTGATCGTCGCAATTGCACAAATTAACATAATCATTACTAATCGAGAATTAGAACTAAAAATTAATCAATGGCATCAGAAATCCAATACGTTCGCATACTTGATTTCTAAACCAACTTTCATTATTTTCACAAGTTTTAGTTCTAAAAATTAGTTAGATATTCATTCGATCATCTTTTGGTTATAAACACGAATTTAAATATATCAAATATACTAAAATTGATCATTATTCCCTGTGGGACGATAACTCTCTTATCACTATTATTACTTGTACAACGAACCCGTACACTTGCGGGTATTTGACAAACAAGTTTTTGGTGCCGTTGCCGGGGAATAATGGTGTTCATTTTAGTTATTAGATATTTTAGATTCATTTTTATTTTTTTATTTAATTTTTATTGTTTTTATTTTCATTTTATTTTTAGTTGTTTTTAGGCTACCATTACACTTTTTAGGCGACTTTAGTTTATGCAAAATCCTAACAAGCCAGATCTCTTTCCAATAGAGCACGAAATCGAAAGGACATTCAGAAATCGTAGAAGAGTTCAACATCAAGCAAGGAGAATGACTGACAACCAAAATCAACCACAGAATCAAGTTCAGCTTCACGAGCTAATACCGCAGCCAAATCAACCGAGAGCTATCCAGAATGAAGCTCCTATCTTAGTTGGAGATTACATCAATCCAATTCCCGCTTTTTTCATGTTATGTGAAGTGATCAGTCACGAAGGGATATCGACAAATGCATTCCGAATGAGATTATTCACTCATACCTTGAAAGACACTGCTAGAGAATGGTTCCTCTCATTCAATCTTGGAACGACGTGGATCAAAAATTCACGATGAAATTCTTCCAACCTTTTCGAGTTCACCAAATTAGGAATGACATTCACACCTTCAAGCAGAAAGATCTAGAGAGCTTTCCTGAGGCATGGGAGAGGTTCAAGAATTTTTTCAAAAAATGCCCCAACCTTGATATTCCCAAGAAGGCTCAGCAATATCTTTTCTACTATGGTCTAAAACAAGAGTTTAGAAATATGATAGATGGTTTAGCATGAGGATTAGTGATAAAATTTGATGTGGATGAGGCAAATGACCTGTATGGAAAAAAAGCTGAAAACCAATCGATGTAGCCAACTAATAGGAAAACTCCAAGAAAAACACTACACAACGTAGATACAGTGACAGCACTGGCCACGCAAATGGAAGTTCTTACAATGAAAATGGACAATCTATCTAAGTTTGTCAACATGGTACACCAATCGCCACCTATTTATGAAGGCAGTGGAGCGGATCATGATAGTACACACTGCCCTTTAACGTCTACACATGCTAATCAATTCAAAGAAGTAAACTACGCACAGAACTTTCAAAGACAGCAAAATAATCCTTTCTCTAACACATATAATCCGGGTAGGAAGAACCATCCAAATTTTTCATGGTCCAATAATCAGGGACAAGAACAGGGGGAGAGCAATCAGAATAAACCACTAGGGTTCCAACAGCAACAACAGCAAGGGAGAAGCCCATCGTTGGAAGATTTGCTGGCTCAATACATTACTAAAATTGAGACCAACTTTCAAAACCAACAAGCCTCGATCAAGAATTTGGAACAATAGGTTGGACAAATTGCAGTCGCACTATCAGGTAGAGCTCAAGGGACGTTACCTAACAACACCGAGATAAACCCTAAGGAGCATGTCAAAGCAATCACTACACGTAGTAGCGTCCAGTTACCAAAAATACATGTAAAGCGACCAGCAACTATCATAGAAAAGGCACCTACCATGGGCGATGAGTAAGTGGATGAATTAGACAAAGCCACTGAGGAAAATCAAGTTGAGTCATCAGATAGTCCACAGGTGAAAGCAACTACTCCTATCAAAGCATATGTTCTTTCAATCCCATTTCCACAGAGATTGCAAAAACATAAGCTTGACAAGTAATTCCAGAAATTTTTGGATGTGTTCAAGAAGCTGCGCATTAACATACCATTTGCTGAAACTTTAGCTCAAATGCCCAGCTACGCCAAGTTCATGAAAGATATTCTATCAAATAAGAGAAAGCTGGAGGACAATGAAACAGTTATGCTTACTGAGGAGTGTAGCGCAATTTTCCAACACAAATTACCACCGAAGTTAAAAGATCCAGGGAGTTTTACTATTCCTTGTAACATTGGTAATTTATATATAGATAATACATTGTGTGATTTAGGAGCTAGCATTAATTTAATGTCTTTATCTCTTTTTAGAAAATTAGGTTTGGGGAAGGCAAAATCGACTACAGTCTCATTGCAATTGGCTGACAGGTCGATCAAGCACCCTCGATGTATTTGTGAAGATATTTTGGCAAAGGTTGACAAGTTTATCTTCTCAGTAGACTTTATTATTTTTGGATATGGAGGAAGATAGGGACGTCCCCCTAATATTGGGTCGCCCATTTTTTGCTACGAGAAGGGCTCTGATAAATGTGCAAAATCGTCAGTTGATACTGAGGTTAAATGAAGAAGAACTGACAATCAACGTGTTTAGAGCTTTCAGATTTCAGAGTGAACTGGATTCTTGCATGCAGATTGATGTAATAAAAGAAGTGGTGTCAGAGACATTCAAACTAGATCGCCCTCAGGATCCGCTTGAGGCTTGTTTAGTGCATTCACAGTATTTACCATCAGAAAAGGAGGAAGTAGAAGAATTTGCATGTTATTTGACAACCATACCACCATTCTTCAAGCAACCACGACTGGAGCGCGGTGGAAGACCCAAAACACCTTTACCATCTATACAGCAAGCTCTGGCTCTTGAACTCAAACAACTGCCCACTCATCTTCATTATGCGTATTTGGGGAAAAAGAATTCACTTTCAGTAATTATCTAGAACAATCTTACAGAATGAGAGGAGGATCAGTTGTTGAGGGTGCTTCGAGAGCATAAGACAGCAATAGGATGGACGATATCGGATATAAAAGGGATCAGCCCTTCACTTTCCATGCATAAGATTAGGGCTGGACATGGTCCAATTCGGTTCGGTTCCCTTAAGAACCGAACCAGACCCAAAATTTTCGGGTACTTAGTAATTGGAACCGTCGGGTCCAAATTTAATTATGGAACCGTTCGGGTTCGATTCTATTCGGTTCGGTTCTGTTCGGTTCCGTACCATAATTACATTTTTTTAACATTTACAACACAACATAAATACAATTAATAATATGTTGAGTCATAGCTTTTACAAATTAACAAAGTCCCATTAAAAACATATAAGTAACATGTTGTCCAGTGACATTATTTTACCAATGTATACATATATCAAAAAGTAAATACTAGTATTAAAATATCGGCAACTCATATCAATAATTCCCTTGCTTCAACCTTCAAGCCTTCAAAATCAAGTCTACATAAAACAATTGAATATGAATTAGAAGTCATAGAAATAAAATATTTTTAAGTATTACTAATACTTACCAACTATATCAATTTCTTGAGTTGCCATACGAAGAAACTCTACAGAAAAA